TTCTTCAACTGCAAACATATAATATTTTAATAGGAAAGTGTATGTCCCTCTCTTCTCACATTTGTCTCCAGACTTCTCCTTCTCCAGATCTATTCCGCCTCCAACATTCTTGTATTCATTGAACTTTTTGAAACTTTGCACTTTTTGAGAGCGGTAAGGGATTGACTCTGTGTACACAAATTTGCAGAGGGACAATAGAGATGAGGTCTGTTATTTCTCACCTCTATATTTTAATTTATTTTAAAATATTTTTACTGTTAACCAGCATGTTACCTTTGGAGACACAAAGCCACAGTTTGAGAACTGGCAAACTAAGCATCTCTGGTGGTATCTTCTAGACTGAGCACTGAGTCCCATTGGGTAAATAGAGAGATTAACCTAAGTAATCTATACAGAAGCCTGTGGAACCCAATAAGACTGGGTCCTTAATGCATGAACTAGAGGAACTCATTTACAAAACTTTTTTTAAACATGACATGTCTATATTGTCTCATACTATAGAATTGGAATGTATAATCCCTATTCTATGATGAGAGATCTTTGAGCTATAATGTATATTAATTTAAACTATCTTTAGATAAAATGGTTTTTGAGGAAAAAATTATCAAAAAATCCGATTTAATTAACACAAATTTGATTTTCTTGATTAAAAAAAAAAAAACTTTAGACTTTTATTCACCGTGGGAAACAGTGTAAAACATGCCCTGGGATGGAGAATTAAGCAGTTCAACAGTCCAGATGGTACCCTGGGGAATGTCTCACACCTGCTGTCTCCTGGCACCATTGTGCCTTCATCAGCCTGATCCTGAAAGGCAAGCTAAGCAGGGCAAACCAGAGAAGAGGAACCAGCCGACATCCTCAACTCCACTGACTTTGATTTTGGCTAAATCCTGAACTCCCCCTGGCATGGGAGACTTGAGGTTCTGCTGCCAACCTTCCCCTCATGCATCTGTTTCCTTCCCAATGATCAGGGGTGAAAGTAACTTAAAGGACTTAGCACAGGGATGAGCAAACATTTTGGTCCGAGGGCCACAGCGGGGTTGTAAAATTGTATGGAGGGCCAGGTAGGTAGGCTGTGCGTCCGCAAACAGCCTGGTCCCGCCCCCTATCCGCCCCCTCCCACTTCCCACCCCCTGACTGCGCCCCTCAGAATCCCCAGGAGCCTCTCCCAGGGCAGAGCCCCCAGCCTGGCCAGGCCCCTTCCTGGCCCTGCCCCTGCCCCGGGGGGCCCCGTTCAGAGGGAAGGTAAGAGAGACCCCCTCACACCCCCGTCACATCCGGGCTGCAGGGGAGGAGGATAAAGAGGTGGAGGTGGGGGGGGTGCAGAAGGCTGGTGCTGGGGATGCGGGGGGCAGGCTGGGATGGGGGCGGGGGTGTACTGAAGAGAAGATGGGGCGATGCAGGGCGATCAGGGGGATTGTGAGGCTGGAATGGGGGAAGATGTGAGTGTGGGGAACTGCGATGGAAGGGGGGATGTGGGGAGGCTGGCGGGGCCGGGGAAGGGGGAGAGATGCCAAGGCAGCTTCTCCGCCCCATGGGACACGAGCGCGGAGGGGCAGAGAGAGAAGCTCCTCTCCTCCTGGAACTGGTAAAACCAGCTTTGGGAGTGATCAGGAGACAAATCCCTTAGGGCACAGAGGCTACAAGGCAACTAACTCCCTCCCCCCAGACACACACACACACAGCTCCCAGTGTGTTATTGTCAGACACACCTGTGCTGGTGGGGTCTGTGTCTCATGAGTTTTGGGGTCTGTCCTGGGCCCTGATCTGATTTCACTGCAGGATTCACATCTCAGCCAGACTGGAGTCACTGCTGGCTCAGGGAGGAGTGGCGTGGGGAAGGTGAGTGCGGATGGGCCAATGGGATCAGCCTCTGCCTGCCTGTCCCTGGGGCTGCTGGGGGTGTCCAGGGCAACTCATTCTTCAGGTGTTGCCACCAGAGGGCTCCTGCTGTTATAAATAAAAATAAATTAATGGAGATATCCCATCTCCTAGAACTGGAAGGGACCTTGAAAGGTCATCGAGTCCAGCCCCCTGCCTTCACTAGCAGGACCAAGTACTGATTTTTGCCCCAGATCCCTAAGTGGCCCCCTCAAGGATTGAACTCACAACCCTGGGTTTAGCAGGCCAATGCTCAAGGGGTTTACACGGCAATGGGGGGCAATCCCCCAAAGTGGCCCCTTTGGTTCTTCTCTTTTTCTAGCATTTGGCTCAGAGTTCCTGTTACTGGGAGGGTCTGAAGAGCCTGTGGGGGATGTGGAAGTGTGAAAATGGAGAAGTGGATTTGCAGCAGCCATCTTAGTGCTGATAAGAGACAGAGCAGAAGACAGGCTAACCTTAACCCTAACATCTCGAGATTTGTAGAAGCTGGGATTGTGCGAGGCGGATGGCAAAACTACATGGGATGCTGTTTTCTAACCTAGCTTTAAGATGAGAATGGACTGCTGACTAAGATAATGGGGAGGAAAATGTATAAACAAGATTCAGCTGTATCCGTTGACATATGTGACGGGAACCTATAAATACGTGCTTTAAACTGTTGTACTTTGGAGACCTGCCTAAGGAAGGGAAACCCCCTGTCCGTACGCTCCCCCTGCAATTGCTTGAAATAAACTGCCTCTGACTTGCTGCTAACAAACACAAGAGTGAAGACTCAGTTTCTTCCACAGGAATCTGGGGGTGACATGGACTGAAGCCCCTTCTGTAACCTTCCCTCTTGCCCCGACAGGCTGAGGATTCACGTCCACGTTTCGCTCCAGATCGTCCTGCCTTCCAGGAGACGGGGAAAGGGAATGGCTGTGATGGAGCCAGCTCAGGTAGGGGATTTTCAGGGAGCTGCTGGGCAGAGGGAGGGAGAGGAAGGGCAGAGACAGGGTGTGATAAACCTGCTGATTTTCTGAGTAGGCCCATTGGTGGTGGGGGAGGTGAGAGGGGACATTCTCCCATTTCTCAAACAGGATATAACCCCCCTCGCAGGGCCGGCTCCAGGCACCAGCCCACCAAGCTTGTGCTTGGGGCGGCACCTGGAGGGGGGCGGCGCAGCGCTCCGGCTCCGGCCGCCGGGGAGAGCGGAGTCCCGGCCGGAGCTCACCGCACCCCCCCCAGGCTCCGGCCGCCCTCCCCGCCTGCGCTGGAGGGGGGTGGGCGGCCGGAGGCCTTTTTGCCTGGGGCAGCAAAAAAGCCAGAGCCGGCCCTGCCACCTTGGCAGGGCTGGGAACATTTTCCAGACTCCCAGTGCTGGAGCCTGACCCCACTGGCTTGAGGCTGCTGTGAAATAAGAAGGGAAGCAGTTGGTATTCCTGTCCCTGCTCTGAACTGGGTGGGTTTGTGATTCTGCTACTCTGGCGGAGCAAAAAAAATTGTGGTGGAGTAAAAAAAAAAAAAAACAGTTTCGCAGGCGCCGGGGGCATTAGCAGGCCCCAGCCGTGCCGCCAGATCGCACACAGCGCCCCGGCCGCGCGCGCTGCCTTCCCCGCGGAGCCTTCTGCCCCCCGACCCGCCCTGAGCCCATGCGGCGCGTCCTGCCACTGGCGGGAGCCCCGCGCCTCTCCCGCTCGGCTGCACTCCAGCGGCTCCTTCCCGGCGGGGCAAGCCTCTGGAGCGCAGCCGAGCAGGAGAGGCGCAGGGCTCCCCGGCAGCGGCGGGGAAGTTTATCGGTTCGTCGGCTGCCCCGCCTGGGACAAGTCTCGGCCCCGCAGCCCCTCTCCGCCGCGTGTCTCCACCGGGCGGCCCAGGCCACGCCGCCCACCCGGGCCCTGCCTGCTCCGCGCTGCCTCCCGACCCACCACGCTGCCCCGTGCTCTGCAGGGCTGGAGCGACCTCCGCGCTGCATTTCAGCGCTCCCGGCCCCGGCCGGCCATGGCCCATGTGCCTAGGCTGCTGCACAGGGGCGTCTCCTCCCCAGGCCTGGCTCAAGATCCAATGGGGCAGGGATTTGGGGAGGGATCCAATGGGGGAAGGAAGGGGGTAGAGTCGGGGAGTGGGGGCGAGAACCCCTCCAGGTTCCGCCTGTGCGCTGGAGCGGAGGGCAAAATTGTTTGTTTGTCCAGTGTCCCGAGCGAACATCGGTCGGGACGCGGGACAAACAAGCAAAAATCGGGACAGTCCCGATAAAATCGGGACGTCTGGTCACCCTAACTCTGGCCCTCCCAGACCTTCATGGTTTTTTTCCTTTCCCATGACGAGTGGGATTGTATCTGGGGCAGCAGGTGCTGAGTGAGGGACTCTTGGTGTTTCAGATGCCGGTGACCTTCGAGGAGGTGGCTATTTATTTCACAAAGGGCAGGGGGCTCTGCTTGACCCCGCTCAGAGAGCCCTCTACAGGGACGTCATGCAGGAGAACTATGAGATGTTGATCTCGCTGGGTAAGGGATTCCCGTCCCCTCAGTTATTAGAAGCCGTGGAATCTGCGTGTCGGACTCTGGTCAGGTTCTTCCCATGTCAGTTAGATCAGAGGTGAGTGGGTTCCATAATGCACAGCTGCCATGTGAGAAATACTTGCATCTCTGTGCCCTCTCCAGTGGGACGTGGGTGTCAAAACCCAATGGAAATCCCCACCCCTCCAGCTTTCAAAGGGGCATATATCCAGCATTGTGTCGTTTCTTGGCTGCACACGCAATCCCTGTTCACCTCCCTCCTTGGGAATAGCTCCAGCCATGAGGAGGGCTCTGGGCTCTGCAGGTTTAGAAAGAGGCAGGGGTTTAAGTGCAGAGCTGTGTGTGAGTCAGCAAGGCTCCCAGGGCACGCAGATGGAGCATCCACGAGAAGTAGGTCTAAAAATTATTCGATTCCTGTGCCGACACA